GCAAATTAAACTGACAAAAGACAGATTAGCAAGAGAAAAGAATATTTTCCTTAAATATGTATCTGGGAGTTCACAGAAGAATGCGCATTCTAGAATTTGGGGCTTATATCCCACCTTAACAGGGGAAGGGTAGAGAGGCAGTTCTGAGAGAACAAATGACTTTTTAGAAAGGATTGAGAGATAAAGGGCACTTAAAACAAATGACTTTTTTGGAAAGATAAATGGACCCTTAGAACAGATGGGAGATAGGAGTTTCGTGACATTGTTTTTAGGTGTGGTACAAATCTCTCCAAGAAGAGATTAGAGTTGCTTCCTAGAGGATGTTTAAGACAACTGAATTCTTTTGGGAGGCTGTGCTTTTAGGCAGATAAGGGATTTTGGAAACTTAAAGGCCTTCCGCTCAAAATAATTATGCCATAATGGCTTCACCGTTTAGATACCCAGTGGTGTAGTCTGTACAGGTAAGTGTGGACTAAAAAGAAGTTGGAGGGAAAGTAATCTCATAGGGTGATCTGATCCTAAATTCCTAACGGGGCAGGTCATGGTGGGTAGTCATGCCCCAGGCCCATGACTTTTTTACTAAAAGGTTTATCTTTGCTTTAAGCCAAGTTCTGTCCGTTGTTTCTCTGCATCTAGGATAATGCATCTTTGAAATGCCTCTTTTCCATCCCTCAAGAGAAACTGCCTTCAAGATGGCACATGATCTTGTTAACTATCCTTTAATCCAGTCCCTGCCTGGCTTTCTCCCACCTTCACGTGATCTTCCCTCCCTTCCTTCCTTAATCTCGAATACATGAAAAAAACTGCATACCGTCATTCTAAGAAGCATTTTTCTCAGTGTTTGATACCTTGCTTTCAGGCATCTCCCCTGTTTGGCTCAAATAAATTTTTATAAAAATCCTCTACAGGTTTAGGTGTTCTTATGTCACTAGGAGTCAAGATAAATTCTTGATTCTTTTATTTACCACTGGAGTAGGGGAGGTTTCATGGGCCCTTCAAATAGTGACCAATAAGAGGGGGTGTGTGTGTGTGTGTGTGTATGTGTGTGGTGGTGGTGGTGGTGGAGCGTCACTGTGCATCCAAGGATTTAAACGTGTTTGTTTTGGCTCAAAATGTCTTCTCTTGGGCTATAGTGGGTCTCTTCTAGTCTCCCAAGTGACAGATCTTTAGATTTTGAGAATTGCTCTCTGATGTGACACGATATTTTTGGCTTATCTTACACATTTCCATCATCTGCCATTTCTTCAAGAAGCCCTGGTTTCTTTCAGTGTGAAAAAGGCCCAGGCCGTCGTAGGCTTCATAGAGCATAAAGTGAATCACCTTGCTCACTCGCTATTGAAGTGTGCAAACCCCTGAGTTTCAGCCTCTGCTCTCGAATTGGCTTGCACAGCCTTCAGGAACCTGCTGGTTATTTTGGAGTTCTCAGATCCATCAGATGTCCCGCTGCTTTCCTTTTCTTCTGCACAGATACTGATATTATGCAGCTCCTATTTGTCTGAGGTTTGTCCTTACCTGCATGTGTTTGGGGGCTTTGTGGGAATACCTTGTCAACTAGTTTTGCTATCCTATTTGTTTTTATGAAGGGAGTTATGCAAAATGAAAAATCATGCCACTGCTACCACCTTCTTCTAAAAACCCAATTTTACTATCCTCTTAATAAATGTCCTCCACTGTTTCAATTAGCCAACGTTGGTTTTTACTGTTTGCGGCTAAGAACCAAAATTGATAGAGGCGTGTTAATTAAGCAAAGGGCTGGTAGAAGCAATGAATTTGCTGTTTTTGAGGCTGTTTTAAGGCTTGTTTTGAGGCCTACAAATGGCTGAGTGGATTTGTGAAGCATTTTGGTGGAAAGTTAAGGCTGTTAACAGCAGACAGCTAGGGGGCTGCAGGTCCTCCACTGCTCTATCAGGTCAGCTCACTGCAACCATGACAGATCCTTGCTGCAGGCGATGAGACCACCTGAGCAGGGGAATGGGGCATCCAGAAGATTAACATTCTGATCAGTATAAGATGGACTAGGGGTTTGTGAGGGAGACCGACGCTAGGTGATTAGTTAGGAAGTTAACGCAGTGTCTGGAAGAGAGGCGCAAGCACCCAGCAGAGCAGTGGAAATGCCAAGGGGAAGATGTGAGCTAATGTGAGAAAACTGAACAGCACTAGGTGACGCTGGGGAATAGTCATCAGTAGTTGAGGTCTCAAAGCCGGGTGGCTAGAAAATAAATAAGTGAAAAAATATTAATGTAACCACCCACGAGTGACTTTGAGTTTAAACTGGAAAAGCGATCCCTACCCTAAGAACTTATTCTTTATACGATTCTCTTCCAACATTTATTTTCCTAGGCAATTCCTTAGGCCTGTTAGGAAAAACAGAGGTTAGCCTGTGTTGATTGAGAGGAGTGAATAGTTTACAGTCCAGTGTTCTCACAGCTGCAGTAGTCTGGAGGACACCAAAGTCCAAAACAGCAGCCTGTACCCTATAGATTACTTTGATCTCTCTCGTCCCAGTGAGCTGGCCTGGAGGAAGTATTGCTCAGCTGGCATCTCCAATCACAGGTAATTTCACTGTAACATCTGCCTTCGAAATCTTCCAGAGCTAAGTTGTTTCTGTGATCGACATGTGACACTTCTGGCATTTCATTAGAGGCACAAGGTGAAAGGGCCTCTCCTTTGAGTCCTATCATCTTCAAAGTAATTTCAACTCTGCTATATGCACTTGTAGTGTCTAAAGCAAATGGGCCTTTTTCACTTAACACAAAAACTCTGCACTTCAAGCACTCACCTAAGAGCTCAATGTGGGACTGACTACGCTGTAATTCCAGTCAAGAGACCAACTGAGGCCATTTCACAAGCTAACTGGAATGTTAATTACTTTAAGAAGCAATAAATTGTCTATAGCATGTCAAATTACCATAAAGCTACAAACCTAGACTCTGTTATTTAAGCTCCCTGTAGAAATGTCACCAGTTTACAATTTACTTTTGCATTTTTACTGAAATTCAAGGATAGAGGAATTCAAGTATATGCATTTTTATGAACTTGCATTGGAGATCTTTTTACCTTGTAGTTCTACTAAACTGAGTATCTACTGTTAATGGTAGAAATTTCTGAAAACTGCTAGATTTTCTTTCCTTACCACTATGCTCTAACTAGATGTTCTAACAGGAATACACCACCTCTCCATTTATTATGGTGCTAGAAATCTCAGACCTAAATCCAGCATCCCAGAAAATCTCAGGGCCCTCATCTCTTCCATGGCCCTTGATCTTCTAGCAAGTCACACTGTACTAGTCATTTATTAACTATCTCACATCCACCTGAGAAGTTGGCACAAACTATACCCTGCTGCCTTCTTTCCCCTCCTCTATACTTTGAGTTGTTTCACCATTACTTGTTGGCAGCGTAGCCATTAATAAGCAACGAAAGACCCCTTCAAAGTTTTGCCTCAGAAAGCCAATTAAGACTATTATGAAAAACTGCCTTTTGGTTACTTTTAGCCAAAAGATTGAAGTAGGAGGAGACAAAATTAGCAAGGTGGTGACGGTTAGTAAGGTTCAAAGCAAAAACAGTAGTAAATTGAGCTGACTTTTCAAGGGAGGCATTACTCTGTTAGAAGGTACAAAAAAGTTAGGCTAAATGGTTAACTAGAGTACACACTAGCACCTTTCTGTTGGCTCTGGCTCATGTTTATTACCCCATTACATTATGACCAAACCTTAGGACCTTATCCCAAGAAACCGCTGAGTGAATGGATGTCAGGCTTGGTTTCAAAATCCAACTCCAACACCAAGTGGCAGTGCAATCTTAAGTAATGGTTCAAATTTTGAAAAACAGGTACTACGTCAGGTTGTTGATGACATAACTCAAAGAACATAGGAGTGCCACAAGCACCTAGCAGGCTTTTTCGTTAAAAAGTGTCTTTCTTCTTATTCCCTTGGACTTTAACCCTGCATTGCCCTCTGCCATCATTTTAGTTGGGTCCTATTCAAATCTCAATTAACAACTTCCTGTGTCATCTCTAGAACGTTTTAATTTCCCCTCTTCAACCCATCTAGACTTGTTTTCCTCACAATGCTCTCACCACTCTGGAGGGCTTACCAAGTCTCCCCATAATGTTATATTGTCCAGCTGGACTTCTCACGTAAGCTTGTTTCTGATTTGCTGGTGGGCCCTTCATATCCTCCCCTTGCCCTCAACCAGTCATTACAAATCTAAGAACCAATTCAGGTTCCTCCCATCTCAGAAAAGCCACCCCAACTATTCTTGCCCAACTGCACTTGCTCTCCTGTCAATACAGTACTTAAAATCTGGATCACAATTATTTGGCTCTTGTCTATGCTTAGCTGATTATTGCTTTCTTTTGCTTTCTATACTAGATTTCCACACATTTACAGATGTTCTATTTTCCTGTACAAATCTCAAGAGCAGAATCATAGGACCCACTATAGACACAAATCAGAAATACGCTGAAGGGGAGTGGATGGGGAAGTATCACAAACACTCCAGGTGATTCCTGTAAACACTACGGTATGAGAAACCTTCTACATGTCATCCTTCTAGCAGAGATAATCTTGTCAACAAACATTCATTTACTGACTAATAAGGCCTCAATACATGATTAAACATTTCTTTCCACAATACTAGATATTAAAAAGCTGTCTCTTATGGTTCACAAAAAAGTAGAAAATATTTTAAGATTTTCAGGTAAAAAGAGTCACTGATAAAAAGATTCGTCCCCTCCAGTATTGTTAGCTGGGATGTGAACTTGAATTGTGGTGCCTCTTTTGACACTAGGGTGAATCTGCTTTAGTGTCCTGCAAATAATTATTTTTTAATGTAGTTTCTGATCTAAGATAGTTCCTGAAATTGCCTTCCCAGTTATCCCTAGGTTGAGGAAGTTATTTCTCTTCTATTTCTGCCCTCTAATATTGTTTGCTATTCTGCATTATTTTCCAAAGTAATCCTCCATCTTCAATTCCATAAATAAAAACCAAGCCACACAGTTGGAAATCAAGTTTTGTTTTTATATGAACAGAAATAGACCATCTAGAAATATTTCAGTTTATTTAAATTGTTAAGTAGAATATGAAACCGAATTTGTAGCTAGTACCAGAGAATGGACTTAACTGTTTGGTATTTAATGAGAACAGCTTCTACACAGGATCCCAAGAGACTTACAGAAAAAGGGGCGAAGCCCTAATATTAAGCAAATAAAACTCATGTTTCAAACAGGTTATACAAAAATTGATTTACACTCCATTTCCCTTTTTTTTTTGATATTTAGAAAGTGCAGATTTAACAAAAGGTAGCCATATCCTTTCTATGTACAATGCCGATTATAATTATGCAAACAACGAAACTGTCAGTCTGTTACCCAAAAATCCCAGTGTTTAGCTCTCAAACCTTAAGTCACTGACTGAATTGAATAAGGATTAAAGGTTAAAAATAAAAAAGCTACTGCCACATTCCAGATAAAGGAAAGCAACAAACACATTAAAATTAATCTAACAACAGTAGGTTTAACCTAAAACTTTTCAAGAAGCTTAACATCATTTCATTATTATTTTTAGTGGAAAAAAAGGGATTATTTGGCAATGCTGCTTTTACTAGTAGTAAACAATGATAGAGTCAAGTGAGGGAAAAACCTAAGGACAACCACCAGTGAGGCATATAAAATTGTTTTTAGGGCACTATCTGAAAAATTCATGGATGTTCATAGCAGATATGTCTCTATGTTGTTTATTTATGTGAGCCAAGAGGGCATTAAAATGCTATCCACGACACAGAAAGACTTTTCAATGGAAGCTGCTGTCCTAAACTCAGCCTCTGCTAGAAATGAATCATGCTATTCACAATTATTTCAACAAAGGTATCATCTTAGGATGCTAGCAGCGTAGCAAACTTAACTTACCCTATCCTAATGATAAGCAATGAAGCAAAACTAAGAGAAATGAAGTGAAAAAAGGATAGGGTTAGAGATATCTAGAGATCCTATCTTTACATGGAAAGCCTTTTGATGTCCTTTTTCCAAATCCATGGTAATACAAGTGTTCCGAAGGGATGTGAAGAGTGGACTTAAAATTAATAATATACTAAAGTATTTCTAAATCTTAAGGTAAAGATAACTTAACACTGAAAAAGTGTTCTTCGAAGGCCAAATCTCAATATATTTGGCAAACATGTAAATAAATTTCACTCCTCCTTCCCACCTTTTTAAAAACAACCTTTACTGGGCTACCAAACTGCTAGAGGAGTTGCCAAAATGGAGACTACTTACTCAATTTTAGGTTAAGAGATTTATTCTAGGAAAGCGAATAGGCTATACACCTAATTAGAAAGACAAACCACAACACCCTCCAAACACTAGTGCATGCAATTAACTCTTCCATTTCATAAACTCAATGGTTGAGACAGGAAGGGAACAGAGAGAGAAGGAGAAGAGGAACATGAACAAAACAGCAAATGAAGGGACCTGGGAGTGAAGTCTTAGGGAAGAGACAAAATGAGGGGAAGACACAATTAACTGACATTTGGACAGTAGGCAGTTAGAATTTCCTTTAAGTTTACTTAGCAAGTTAAATCAGTGCTTTATGTTAAACTTGACAAACCTACTAGTTTGCCCCTTTCATTTTTAAATAACTCATACCATGGGGTGGTGGGGAGAAAGAAGCAAATAAAGCAGCATGCAGGAAGACAAGACACAAGGAAAAAGTGGCCAAGAAGAACCTGTGGCAGGAATAGTTTTAATATCAAGGCCACTTAAAATGAGATTCAGCAAACCGAAGCTATCATTTCTGTATTATCCTTTGTCCTCAATTAACTACTTTGAAAATTACAGCCAAGCAAACCACAAACATTTTAATGGTTTATATTCGGATGATATGTCTCCTGCACATGCTTCCACCAAAACAAAAAAAAGGGAAAACCAAAGAAATTCCTTTCCACATAAGGCACAGGACAAAATTAACCCCATTTACATATTCAAGGCGAAAATGAGTGTTTTCCTGGCTTTCGTTTGTTTCTTTTGCTATTACACGTCTATAGAATATAGGGACTCAAGCACATTATCCATGACAGAAAATTCCACTGTTGTACAAAATAAAATTGTTAATTCTAACTTTTATTCTTATACAATTTGCAGAATAGAATTGAAATGATTGCTGTAAGTTTTAATGTTGATAAGAACTGGACTATAATACAAGTGAAATGCAGTGGTGAGCTGAGCAGGTACACTTAAAAATGAAGTCACCGACATGATTTTTCTATACATTTTTTTGTTTGTTTAAAGAAAATTATAAAGTCAGCAAGCAGTCACAGATGAAAGAAAAAATAAAATAGGTGAACTGGATAGTTAAGATGAGGAACAAAAATATCTGTTTTAGAGTTAAAAATGGACAGAGTGGTTAACTTTGCAGCAAGAGGAGAAAACAGGGTGGTGGATGGCAACTGATGGAACAGGAGACCGCTCAGCAACATTTGCTCTTCCAGCCTGTCACGCCTCCTCCACTGCTGATATCTACATTTTCACTGTTGGGCTCTTTTACAGGGGTCTGGAACAAACACACAAGGAAAGTAACCCATGAAAAAACACTGCTATGGAAAAATCAAGATTTAACAGAAATATTCTTATAAATGTTAATTTATGTAACAAAATGCAATCAGTCACGAGATAGATTTTCTTCTCCGTGCAAAGAAAAGATTTGGAAGCTTTGTTTTTGGTCTTCGTTTTGCCTGCTCTCTCCAAGATGTGAAATGTCTAGAGGCCTCCTGGCATTTCTTTATAAAGCTGCTTTGAAATCTTCTCTGCCCTAACACTTCTGCATAGAAGTTTTGTTATCTCCTAGCCCTGACCCTTGAGTATTTAGTACTTGAAAAGCATTATCGAGTATATGCATATAACCAATTTGGAGTCACGTCTAACTTCAGAAAAGTGAAACAGCCCTTTTCTGTTTAGTTACTTTTGAGACTGAAGCTCAGTACAATTTTTCTTTTTATCAACTCAGGAGAGAAAGTACTGCACAAAAAGTTGCCAGTCAGAAATCATTACTATATTTCACAACTAATGTTAAGCAAATTTACATTTGATGTTTTAACTCATATTACTACACTGAATGGTGGTATGTGTATGGGAAAAAAATGTAGCCTCATATTTGGGCCACCTACATGGGGAAGACACTGGACTGATGTTTACTTATTGATGCATCCATATTTTTTAACCTTTAATATAACAAGGAAGATCTACCTCACTGGGACGCAGGTTATATAATGACTACATAATGCCAAGATTGGTGAGATCAAGGGACACAGTATAGACAGAAAGAAATAAAAAACAATGAAGACCAAAAAAATGCAGAAAGAGAAAGAACGCAGAGACAAGAACATTTCAACGAGTTTTGTGTTAACTTCTGTAAATACTGAAATAATTTTTCTTTGTGACCTGCCAATCTCTAAAATACAAAGTAGTTCCCACCAATCAGCCAGTCTGTCCATACCCCGTCTTACCACTGTCACTCCCTGTGGAGTGCTCACTACTCAGAGCTAGGCATTACCCTTCCAAATCTTTATTTGCTAACTATAACCAAACGTGTCGTGCATACACATGTGGTTTGGTATTACAAATAATTTTAAAAAATAAGCTCACACTACACGTATTATATCTGAATTTGCTTTTTATTACTTAGTACATTATAGATTATCAGGCTCAATATGCAGGCTGGTGGCAGAAGTGGAAAGGCACAACTTTTGTAGTCACTCTGAATAGCAATAACTGATGGCTGTTTTACCCAGTTTGAACACTCAACCATAGATAACATTTTATTCTAAAAAATTAAGTTGCTTGGTTTCTCAGAAATTTCACTAGATTTTTATTTGATATATACCACCTCTAGTTTGTGTTTTATATATATATTTTTTAAATTTTCAGGTTGATTTTTGAAAAAATTACTAATATTTCAAATATAAAAACAGAAAGGTTACCAGAAGCAATTAAATTTTCTCCTATATAATATCTGCTTCTCCTTTAGGATTTGTGTCAGATTTTCTCTATTTTTATTTGCATATAAATATATCAGAGATTGAAAGAGAATTCAGGACTCATAACCAAACTATTTATTATATATACCTAGTCATTTGAAGAAAAATATGAAAATCAGATTTCTCAATTTTGCTACAAGTCACTTGTACTGGCAGGTTTGGGGATTCACAAACTCAGAAACTAACCTGAAGGTAAAAAGAATTCCCCGAGATCACATTTTCAGAATTTTTTTTTTTTTACATCCCAGGTTGAAATGATTGGCTAAATGAGATTTGGGGATGGACTATTTATTCAGTATATAATATATTCATGACCCTTACTTGAACATTTGATAATGACTACACATTAGTGCTACAGTATCACTATATGTATAGTGATATATGTAACAATAACTACATAATAGATTCACCACTTATTTTAAATTTAAAAAATTTATCTATGGGAATGCAAAGGATGTATAACAGAAATAAATCAAAAAGTAAACAGAAGAGCCACAACACAATGGACCAGACAGCTAGAAAAAAAAGAGCAGGAAGCTGGGGATTAGAGAGTGAATGTGGGAGCTTGGAATACTGCTGTCACTATTTCTAGATGGCTTTCGGCTCCTCGAGTTCCTTACTTCACTTTGGAGGATTAGATATTGATGATGGATAAACAATTTGAAACAATACTACCCAAACCCAGTTTCTGTATGTAAATCCAATACTTTAGAAAAGACTAAATGTACAATTAAGACATTGGGCACCTTAGCAGTAAGTAAAGACAGGAACTTACCTTTCGAAGGATATCTTCAGCTAATGTGAGAAAGGCCTTTTCGATGTTTATATTTGCTTTTGCACTAGTCTCGAAAAATCTAATACCATGCTCTCTTGCAATCTAAAATAGAAGCAAAATATCATAAAATTATCAAATATAGGTTGCCATCTTACAGGAAATAGTAATATTATTCTAAAGGCAGTCTCGACTAGGTTAAATAAAACAAACATCATTTCAATGGGTCAAGATTAGACCAGTTAAGTTATTTCAAAAACAAACAACAAACAAACAAAATGAAAGAATCCTCTCTTCACTCCAGGAGTGTATCTCAGATAGTCTAAAAGAGGTACAGCTGATGCTTGAACAACGCAGACCCACTTAAATGTGGATTTTTTCAGTAAATATACACTCGGCCCTTCATATCCCTGGGTTTTGTATCCATGGATGTGGAAGGCCGACTCTATGTGCAAACTTAAGAGAAGTTCCAAATGACCTAAAGCAGTACCTAATTTCTGCTGTCACAGGCTACTGCTTGTCAAACTATGGAATCATATATACATATATTTTTAAATTTATTATTATTATTTATGCCTACAGCACCTGGTCTTCCTAGGGTCTCCCATCCAAGTACTAACCAGGCCCGACCCTGCTTAGCTTCTGAGATCAGACATCGGGCTTGTTCAGGGTGGCATGGGCTGTAGACCATGGACCGTGGCTCCACTGAGGCATAAACCCAGGACCTTCTGTGTGAAAAGCAGACGTGCTAACCGCTACAGTATGGAACCACGTCCTGGAATCATATTAACTAATACATTTCTTTAAAGTTTTAAATTAAAATAACTGAGAATCACTGATTTATATTTCTCCCTCTTTGTAATTTAAACAAGGTTAAAAATTTAATTCTCTAAAGGTTTAGTTCTCTTATACCTGTTGAATATGTCAAAAAAAATTCACTTAAATGATAAGCTACTGTTTCTAACAGTACTTAACAATGTAAATGGCTCAGCGCACGCCATTACCACTACTGTAAAAACAATCAAAGGCAACACTATCTTCACAAGGAAAAGGCAGCACATTAGCTTCACTCAGAGCTTTTTACCTGTTCTCCTTTTCCTTTAGGTACAACTCTTTTATCATCCATATCACACTTGTTTCCTAGTAACATTCGTTCCACATCTTCATTGGCGTGCTAAAACAGAACACAAATTTTATTAACACACTACCATGAATTATGGCTTAATAGTCCCCTAAAATGACTTTTGCTCAATTTATGGTGTCATTTCAATAGTCTGAAAGTTTTAAAACAATCACCCTGAAACCAACTCATGCTAAAACACAAATTCTTAAATTACCTAGAGAAACACAATTCCAAAGACTTGTCAGATATTATTTTCCAATTATATAATGTTGTCTAGTTCTAGATTTATTGAACTTGCTTACTGGTTCTAATAGCTAATTTTTTGGTGTGTGTGTGGAATCCTTAGGATTGTCTATACACAAGATCACATCATTTATAAAGAAGAGTTTTACTTTGCAATCTCAGTAACACTGGTTTTTTCCTTTGCCTAACTGCCCTAGCTAGACTCTCCAATACAATACTAAACAGCAGTGGCCAGAGAAAGCACCCTTGTCATGTTCTTGATTGTAGGGGGCAGGTATGATGTTGGCTGTGGAATGTTCATAGATGTCCTTATTAAGCTAAGGAAGTTCTCTTCTATTTCTAGTTTGTCGAGTGTTTTTACCAAGAAAGGGTGTTGGATTTTGTCACATGTTTTCATCTGTGTCTGCTGACATGATCGTATAGTTTTTGTCTTTTACTATTCTAATGTATTACATTGTTTTCAAATGCTGGACCACCATTGCATCCTAGGTAAATTCCTCTTGATTAAGATATATAATTCTTTTTAAAAAGTTGCTGCATCAACTTATTTACCTTTCATTTAGTTTAAGTTTTAATTTCTACAACAAAGATAGGCAAAGCTAATCGCTTATGTCAGAAAAACAGATTTTCTTTTTTAATGGCTGGATTTTACATATCTTAGAAACAAGCCATCTAGCCTTCCAAGTTAAGTGTATAAAACAATGATATAATAAAAAACATGTATTTGGTGTTTGTCCCCATTCTAGGCACAGTAGTCTAAATTTCCTTAGAGATAGGACTGTCTTTTGTCATTCATAACAGGCCCCTTTCTAACTGAAGTTTATGCTAATAAAGGATGCATGGTAAGGCTCCCACAGAGCTTCACAGTGGAGGATGGTCACCAGAGGAACCAAATGTGTGATCAAGGGTTGGAACTTTCAGGCCTCCCCCGACTACCATGAGGTGAAGGGGGCTGGAGATTAAGTTTAGCCACCAAAGGCCAATGATTTAATTAACCATACCTATGTAATGGAACCTAAATTAAAAAGGAACCAATGAGGTTTGTGAACATATCAAGGTGCCAAGAGTGTGACATGCCAAGGGATGGCATGGAAGCTCTGATTTCCCCAACTCCCATACCTTGCCTATGCAACCCTTCCATTCAGATGAGTCTTATCTTTCATAATAAAATTATAAGTATAGTGCTTTCCTGAGTTCTTTGAGTCATTTTAGCAAACTATTAAATCTTCAAGTGGGTTATGGGAACCCTCAAATTTGCAGCCAAGTTAAATAAAAGTGTGGGTAGCCTGGGAAACCCAAGTCTTGCATTTAAAGGAAGGGCAGTATTGTAGGACCGAGTCCTTAAATCTCTGGAGTCTCACACTAAGTTTGGGTAGTTAGTGTCAGAATAGGATTAAATTTAGGACATCCTGTTGATGTCACAGAATCAGGAAATGGGATGTTGCTGGAGCAACACTGCAGAGTATCTAAATTGCTCTTATTACACATGCTACTTGGTCAAACCACTTTTAAAATAAAGACTAAGGAAATCCAAAACAGAGCCTTTTTTGTTTCAATATCTGTGTATTGCTGTTTCTTAAATACTAACAGATTTCTGCCATTGAAGATATCATTAACTTGGCTCTAATACTGGCTTAAGACTTGGTCTTGTGTACCCAGCCAAAACTTATTTAAGGAGTTAGTCTTAATGAAATTCAAAATCTAAAAGTCAGCAATCAGATATGAAAAATAATCCCAACAAGAAACTACTTATGCTGTACACAGAAACAGACATGCTTGACATACAACTTTACCTCAGAAAAACTGACATCTTCAAACACAATGATATGGCACTATTTTCTTGGTTAAGTTTTTATTGTATTAGTACTCTGTAGCTTTCAAAATGTCTAGAAGTGATCTGACATTTCTGTAACTTAAAAATAAGTTTTAAAATTACTGCTGAAATGTAATCCTTTCACTCAATAAAAATCTACCAAGAAAGAATTCATTTAGAGAGGTGTGCAAAAACATCGGTTGCTTCTATTTGGGGCCATCTTATAAGATGGCTGTACAGAGTTTTGTGGTAATTTAGTAACTGCCTTGAATGAGGTTCTAGATAGACCTGCCCCAAAATTTAAGGAAAAGGTAAAAGAAAACAAACATAACATATTTGGAAGCAGAAATGCTCAATAATAATGACTTCAGGAAGTGAGCAGCGGGCCAGCAAGTGAAGCTTCATCTGTATTTGCAGCTGCTCCCCAGCGCTAGCATCCCCGCCTCAGCCCCATCTCAGATCATTGGGCATTAGATTCTCATAGGAGCATCGGTCCGTGGTGCCAAAAAGGTTGGGGACTGCTGAATTAAAATACTTTTTCTTCTCAACTAAGCACACAAATGTTTGTTTACAAAAGGTTTATGCAATTTCTAGGTCTTACCTCATCTATATTTCTAAGCCATTTGCTGATGTTTTCAAAACTTTTACCATTGGTGATGTCATATACTAGCATGATACCCATTGCACCTCTGTAGTAGGAAGTTGTGATGGTGTGAAATCGCTCCTGGCCTGCCGTATCCCTAAAATAAAGAGCAGTAATTTGTATTGAGCATTTCGATATTACTATACTCTGGACAAAACAGAATAGTTTGGTAAGACATACAGAGATTAAAATATACTATATGCCATAATGCAAAACAGAACCATGATTCATTTAATTATTAAATGGTAAACTATTATGGTTATTCAAAAACATATGTGTATATAAAGCTTTTTAGTTAAAGGAAAATTAATGACCTAACTATACTGAATAAAAATCTGGAAGAGAAAACCGTAAAAAGTGACCTATAAAACTCTTACAGTTATTTAAAAATGAACATTAGCAAGGATGATAAAAACCCTTGGAATTCCATTTTTTTAGTGATCTAGTTCCATAACACAAAACCATGTGGAATTTTTAGAAAATTAAAGGAGTGTATCATAAGATAACCACATTTACCTTTACAATAATTTACAAAAAGTTGTAAAGATAATCTGATTTATAAATAGTAAGATAAAAATATGTAAATAGTATTTTTAATGCCTTCAAGAAAATGATTTAAGACATATTTTGCTCTGGTAATTTTTCCCTCATTTGTATCACCAATTCCTTCCTTTTATGATCATTCTCATCAACATATATACGTGTTTTATGTTCCCTATCTTTTCTATAAAAGCAAAATTAAAACAAAAAAACCCCACTCTCAACCTCATATCCCTCCAACTAACATTGCATTTCTATTCTTCCCAGCAAATTTTTTTTAAACTTTTATTTCAAAATAATTATAGCTTCACAGGAAGTTACAAAAACAGTAGAAAGAAGTCCTGTGTATCATTCACCCAGCTTTCTTCAATGGTAACATCTTACATCACTGTACAAAAGCAAAACCAGAAAATTGACATTGGTACAATCTATAGACCTTAAAGTTCTCTTAACATGCGCTAAGTGTGCACGTGAAAAAGCAATTCTTTACTGAATTGCTTTTGCACCTCTGGCAAAGATGCGTAGGCTGTGGTTTAATCTACTTCTGGGTTTTTTATTCTGTACCAATGACCTGTGTCTATGTTCCCCTCCAAAACCATACTGTCTTGATTACTGTAGCTAAATAAAGATCTAAAACCAGATAGACTGATTCTTCCCACTTATTCTTCTGTAAGAATTATTTTAGCTATTCTAGCCTTTCCATGTAAATTTTAGGACAAGCTAGTCTATACCTACAAAAAACCTTCTCAACAAACTTCATTAAAGAGTTATCTCTAGTATGTCTCCCCAAATTAACTCCTCAACCAATTCTAATCTGACTGCAATTTCTACTACTTTACCAAGATTGTTCTTCTGAAAAAGGTCTCTAATAACCTCCTGATTGTCAAATCCAATA